CAATCCAAATAGAGAAATTTTGGTGGGTTAAGTAATAAACTAATCAAAATTATAATGCTTGAGTTAAGTGTTACTTTTTGAAAGAATCAAAGAAATTATAATTAATTATTCATGAACAAAGGTAAAAAATAGATATTAATGACAAAAAAATATCAATATTCTTATTATTTTTAGTTCTTTAATCACTGGTCAGGTGTCTTCATCACGCTAAGTATTATTTAAATGTTTACGAATAGATTACGAAAATTTAAGAAAATTAACATAATGGAGGCATCTTTTTCTTCTCAACAATTTAATGAAAAATGTAAGGAAAAAAGATTTTCTACCTCTTTAAAATTGTGTATTATTATTGAGTTTCAAATATTTAAAAGACAAAAAATGCCGACAAAAAAAAAAACTGGTTAAAATGGTAATGCACGTGGCTTGGATTGGCATGTGGCAAGTCAAAGCCAAAAAGAAAGTGTTACAAGTTCGCTTTGTACACCAAATTATTTAAAAAAAATTCAATTTGTGTGGTTTTTGTTTTGTGTTGGAATGATCTCAGGCCCAATAAAGGAATCAGTTCTGATAATCTGATCCAATAAACAAATGCATGGGCTTTTTTATTTAGTCCGATAGTAACTAATCCACACAAAAAAAATTCTGAAAACATATGAATCAATTTTTTTCCTGAAAACAAACCTTTTCTTAAAAAAAAAAAACATTCACTACCACAATATATGATTCGAAGAATCACACTTTGAAATAAAAAAGGGTACAAATACAGATCTTTGAAAGTTGAAACACATACCGAATTTAACATACTAATATTACCAAGCATTTGGTGTTGGTAGCTCTAGTTAGCTTTGAGGAGTTTTTGGGAGAGGAGTATAACCAAATCCTTGGTTCGAACTTATGTGTATATGTTTTATTGTAAAACGGATATTATTTTTTTTATTATGTATCAAATTAATCGTCATGTTTATGGATTTTCTTTTCACTCTTATCATTGATATGTATTTTCACATTTATTTAAATTTGTGTGCACATCTTTTTCAATTTTCGCTATTTTAGATAATAGTAGTATATTTTTTAAAAAAATTGTAAAATAGTGTAGAGAGATATACAAACGGTCATACACAATCATAAATAGATCATTACTAATTAGTTCTCTTGTTTTCTCGTTATTGGATTTCTAAAATAGTGTGGAGAGATGTACAATATAATATATTTCTTTTCTGGTTTTATCTTAGTACTACTATCTTCAAACCTAAAAACCCTTATGATCATATGTTCATCTTCAAAACACCATCGTTATAAAATCATAACAATCATCAAATGCTTGTTTAAAAAGTTTTGCGCATCTCCAAAGTTTTTGGTACTATTCACGTACTTAACAGTATTTGTCATTCTAGTTACTAGATCAAACTTAAAAATAAGAATTTGTGTGCCAATTCTGAATATACTAGATACATATGACACTACATAATTCAGAAAGAAGAATATGAGTAGCCTCCGTATAATCAGGAATTATAAATTTCGGCCGTTTTACAATGGCCCATCCATCTTCTAAATAATAATATAAAAAATTATAATTGGGTTAAGACAAGTCTACCTAATAAAAAAAATTTAGTGGGCAAACCATTGTACAAAAGTAATTAGGAAAAAAATATGTCCACATATCAGAGTATATAGTTTTGGGTCAAATCTCTACGCTTGGCGTACCAACTTGAATTTGTCAAACAATTTGAGCATTAAAAAGCCCAAAGTCATATGGATTCATCGCATGGTAACTCCGTTTTCTGACTTTCTCCATTCTTTGAATTCAATTTTTAACGAAACGATAAGTGCAACTTTTAAACCCAAAAACAAAAACTAAAGTCAATCCATTAATGCTCTTTGTTAGAAACTACGTACATACTATATTTATATCTACGGTAACAACTTTTTTTTTGTCGTCATTTTTTTATTTTTGTGTGGGCCACAATAGACCGTCCACTAGCTTTTTTTTGCCTCGCTTGTAAGAGGACCGGGTCAAACCCCGGTGCCACAGAGCGTGCAAGTGGAACAACGCTACTGCACCACGATGCTCTTGGCTACTTAAGATTAAACTTTAAGTATTCGTGCTATTTATCGTGTAAATAAAAGCATAATCAAAATTCTAAAACCTTTAAAATTCAAATAGTTTTAATTAGGTTCCGAATGACGACGTTACGCATTAAAATGTCTTATTTATGTGTATTTAATAAAAATCTATACTTACACACATATATATACTTCTTTTTCTGTTACTATTTGTCATGTACTGCACTCATTCTGTCTCGTACCGCAATAGTCGATCATCTAGTCTCTCAATCGCTTAGATTCTAATTTTTTGCTTAGATGGATTAAAATGAATTTTCAAGTAGGTCTAGTAAAAATAAAGTTCGAATCCAAATATTTAGTATGCCGCCTTTGATATAAGATTTATGACTAAAAGCCACTAAAAATTAAAGAGAAATTTGTATATTACAAGACAAGAGTTTCTTTGATTTAAGAGCATGCAAGTGTAATTATCTGGACCAACCTAATCATTCCTATGTCAAGGGACATGCTGTAAATATTTTTCATGGGACATGCTTTTATAAATATTTTTCTCTTTCCATAATAATTAAAGTCTTACACTTGATAATAATGGTGTATAATTATTATTGATGACATAAAAATAATGGTGTAATAAGAAAGTTCAGACGGTAGAAAGAAAGTTATGTGATGAATTAAGGACAATAAAAATAAAGGTACTATAAGAAATGATGGTTTAGAAATAATATCTACTCGTGATATCGTAGGAATTTGAATAATACAATTGATTAACATTAGTATTTGCTTCTTTCTCAAAAAAAAAAAAAAAACACAACATTTGCTGAGTGAATTTTTTATTTTCAAAAGCAACCGGTATCATAAAGTGAAAAGTAGACCTCATCCCGCGAATTGTATCTCCCGTATATAGATATTTCATACACGAGTTTTTTTTAATGGATCTACTTATATATATCGGGACCTCCAAAGGTCATCACTCGAGCTAGCCAATAAACCTTTGAAAGCTTGTGCAGCAAAAGTATGAATATCGTTGACTTGTAGTGTAGGCTTATTAATAAGGCAAGATGTATGATCAAACATGTGTCAGGTTTCTTTTTGCATTTGAACTACAACAGTGCTTACAACAGCCCATGCAATTTGAGGTCACGTAGTTCGATATTTTTAATACATGTGATCGAAATGTGCGTACTAATTAATTCTTCCATGAGATAAATGCTATATGACATGTAAAATAATTTAAATGTTACGGGCGTATACATCAAATATTATTTTGTGCAGGCCGGCTTTGAAGACAACCGAACTAAGCACATGTTTGCAGCCTTTATATTTATCATAACAAAATCGGGTTTCATTTAAAAAAAATCTATTTAGTTTAGTGGTTAAAACCCAAATTTTTTTTTAAAATGGTCTTTTTTTTGGTTTTAGCTTATGGCCCATTAGAACCGATGATCGACCCTGATTCTGTGTTTTATATGATTTATTTTGGTTAATTAGGAAATGCACGTAACTCTTGTACGTAATATTATAGTAATACGGTTTTCAAAACGTCAAAGATCCAAAACAAAAACTCTTGTACAAAAAAACGTCAGGATCGGTATGTCCCCAACCATGATGATTGATGGAGATGCATCATCTATCACGGAGACGTATAAGTCAAACCATAAGATTCCAAATCCAAACCCTTTTCATATTCGCGACATTAACCCGATTTTGGCGCGGACACCATTCAACATTCATTATCCCATGCTTTACATATACCGTACATAAACATTATTGTAGTTTTTTTAATAAACACTTGAATAATTGTATAAGCAAAACAAACTTATTAACTGACAAACATTATTCATTTTTACCTTTTGTCAACAACCTATTTTGACAATAACTGTACATTGGCTGAATTCAAAGTATATGTAGGCTATGAATATTAATGACTACTTAAATAGTTTTACTTCATAAGAAAAACAATAAACGAATTTGGTCATAATTCTTATACTCGTAAGCTGTAGCCATCCTAATAATTTGAGATCATACTATTATGGTTGCTTCGTTTCGAATAACCACCATTTCATTTTAGCTATATACCATCATGTTTGCTTTGTTTCTTCTATACTAATCACATTTATTCCACTTAGGAATTCTATATTCATTAATGTTACACACATGTCTTCCACTTTTTTAGAATTCTAGATTC